ACCTATGCACCCCAATGTTCACAGCAGCACAATTTACAACAGCCAAGTGTTGGGAGCAACCTAAATGCCCATCAGTAGATGATTGGATCAAAAATTGTGGTACATTTACACAATGGAATACTATGCACCAGAAAAAATAAAGAACTACTAAACTTCACGACAGCATGGATGGAACTGGAGAGCATTATGCTAAGCCAAATAAGCCAGGGGGCAAAAGACAAATACCATATGATCTCACCTATAAGGAGAACCTAAGCAACAATACAAAGATGCAAGGTCAATAAGACCAGCAACACTGAAAGGAAAAGAAATCAACAGAGACAAGAAGGAAGGGGGGAGCGGGGAAAAGGAAGGGAAGGGGAAAGTCAAGGAACATATAGCCAGGACTCATGGACAAAACCAAAGGGGAAGAACTGAAGGAGGGAACAGGGAGGGGGCAAGGGAAAGTGGTGGGGGGTAGGCAGAGGCAAATGTATTTGAAAAAATAAATAAAATAAAATTTGAAAAAAAGTAAAAAAAAAAAAAAGAGAGAGAGAAAGAAATTCATGGAAGCCTGAAAGCAGTGGGAAGACATAGTCAAAGTGCTGAGAGAGAGAGATAAAAACCTGTCAACTATGTTTTCTATATCCAACAAAAGATGGCTTAAAAATTAAGGAGAATTAACATATTTTGAGCTAAATAAAAACTACTTCTCTCTTTCACTTAATTGGGAGTTCTCTCAGGTCAGAAAATTGGCTATTCCTCAAAAATGTTGTAAGAAAAATGAACAAACTACTACCACCTAAGGCAAAAGATTATAGTTGAGGCAAATAATAAACATATCAAAAGCCTTGGAAGAAAAGCTAGGGAGTTTCTTTGGGAAACTGGGGCATTCAAAAGTTCCTGTGTATACTGGGTAATTTAGAAAAATGTGTATATAACCTGGGCATGATACATGACACAGAAAAGACCTGAGAAGATCCTAAGCTTTCATCTCTGGCTGATCACTAGGCTCAAGGCAAACAACAAGTGAAGGTGAAGGCAGAATTGTAAATTACCTGACTAAACAATAAAGAAATACCCAAACACAGAATCAATCTGTAAATACTGGGAGAGGTGTATTTTTGTTGGGATTTTTTGTTTGTTTGTTCTTTGTTTTTTAAATTCTTTGTTACTAGTGAGTGGACTTCTGACATCCTAGGAGCTTTTCAAAGCCTCTGTGAACATCTCATTCCCCAGTTTTTCATTTTACATTATTGGACCATTCTATTGTTTGCCCCAACTATTAGTTATAAATTTAAACCATTTCCTGTCATTGTTTTTGACAAACACCCTCAAGGAAAAAACTTTTCACACTGAGTGAGCTCTGACTGAGATCAAATAAAATTAGCCTTTCAAACAGGGTCTTCCAGGGAACCACCAGCCAGATCAAGTAATGCTAATTCTCTGGGAATGGAGATTTTAAAAAGCCCTAGAAACCAAAAGAAAAAGCGCCATCTGGCTGTATGGAATGTATCTGGTGGGGAGCAAACTCAACCCAATAGAGGCAGCCATAGTGTGAGGTAGAAAAAGTCTATCTCTACTAAAGGATTCCACACAATTAATGTGGATAGTGGGAATGACTCCCAGAGCAGACTTTGGACCCTGGTCCATATATACTTTGTAGATGTGAATTTTTATGGTTTTATGGTTTGTCCTACTAGAAGCCTCATGGTAGCCTGGCAAACTGTCAATGGAAAAATGTTAGCTGTGTTCAACATTTGTTACTAGTGAGTGGACTTCTGAATTCCTAGGAGCTTTTCAAAGCCTCTGTGAACATCTCATTCCCCAGCTTCTCATTTTACATTATTGGACCATTGTATTGTTTGCCCCAACTATTAGTTATAAATTTAAACCATTTCCTGTCATTGTTTTTGACAAACACCCTCAAGGAAAAACACCCACATTTGCCATTTGGGGATGTTGGAGTAGGTTTATCAGTTAGAAGGTGGTGTGCATAATGATGATTTGGTCAGTTGAGGGATGATAAATTGAGTTCTGAGTCCACCTAGTTGTTTCTAAAGGGTGTATCACAACTATGTCCTTTTTACTGACAATGACAGTGAATGCTGAAACAATTCAAGAGGCCATACCTCCTCTGGACCTCGAAGAAGCTCGTGAAAAACAAATTCAGAGTCAACAGCTGTCCATTAATTCTACAAAAATATCCTCCCTGGCCTATTCCAAATTGCAATGACCAGTGAGACAGCCCCTCTTCCAGACCAAACAAACCACATACAATGATGCCTCTGCCTAAATATGAACCCTAGGATGAACAAAAGAGGTTATAGTAGAACCTAAGGGACAGAGATTCAGGTTGGATGACTTCTGGGAAGTCAATGAAGCATTACAATACTTAGTAGGTGTAGGTTACAATCCACAGCAGGAGTTGCTTTTGAGGTTATCCTTACCTTCTGTGCCTGCCCCTGATGTCTACCAGTGGCAGGTACCCACTCCAATAGGGATCTGGCCATCATAGGAGAAGGACCCTTCCTACAAACAGCCACCCCTTTATATTAACTGTGGTTTGGGCTCCAAAAATAAACAATGCTGGCTGGTTCTGTTAGATATGGATGTCCAAATCTCCCTAATCAAGGAAGAACTCTTCCTTTAAATGAACCCCTCAAGGAGGTGACAGGCTTTGGTGGCGGGGACTGATAATGGGTAATTGCCAAATTAACTATTAAAATTGGCCCAGTTTTGCTAAAAGATACTTTTGTCCTTATTTCCCTGAGACTTTTCCCATGATTGGAATGCACCTTCTCAGTGAGCAGGTAACCCAAGGGAACAAGCCTAAGGCTTTTATGCTGTTGGTCGGTGCAACCTGGTAGAAACAGGTTAAACTTTTCCTATCAGTAAAGGTGAGTCACTGAAGGATTAAGTCCTGTCATATATGATTTAGGTAAGAAGGGATATCGATTTCACATCTCACTTTTTAGTTTCCTGGTGTAGCCTGTGCCTAAAGCCACTACTATGAGTGGAAGCTAACAATAGACATAAAAAGTTAAACAAGGCTGTTCTCTTTATTAAAACACCTCTACCAGATATCATTACCTTAATGATGACATTCATAACAACATAGGTAAATGGTTTGGAGCTACAGACTTGGCTAACGTGATCTATTCAGTAAAGATTTTGTAGGAGTCAGCCACATTTGCCTTCACCTTTAAGGGACAACAGTACACCTATACCTGATTGTCTATTGAGAACTTAAATGGCCTGAAATCACAGAAGGAATTTTCAGCCAGAACCTGAATGCCTACCCCAAAATTCCACCAGAAATCCACCTTTTGCATTATATGGATGATGTTCTCTTCTCTGGACTAAGACTGTTCCACAGGCCACTACAGCCATGAGTGAACACCTCACTGAGAGGATATGGAAAATTGTCCCATATGGTACAAGGCCTCTTCCAATCAGTGAAAATTTTGGGTTACATTTACAACTCAGAAGGGTGAACTATTCCCAATCTGGTAAAAGACAACCTCTTAACACTCCCACTTCCCACATCAGTAAAGGGATCCAATCAACATTTGGTGTGATGTTTGGAATTTAGCACCAATAGATTCCTTCCTTTGGTATTTGCTGACTCCTTTCTATCAATCACTTGTAACTTTTTTTTTGTTTTTTGTGGTTTTTTTTTTAGCTATCAAAACTGAAATCCTTACTGGCACTAATCCAATTACCCTATGAACTAAGTTTCCTATTTTGTCCTGGGTAATGGTAAAGTTCCCTGTAGAATTGGATCAACAAAAGAGATCTCCTTGTTAAAATGGAGTTAAACTCAGACCTACTGGTATGTCACACTCCATGAGGAAATAGCCACTTACTTCTTACGCTGTTTAACTTCAAAAGACCTCCAGAAATGCATCTGCTCTTTGCCCAGTAGGGGTTGGAGGAAGGATGGTTCTCACTTTCAAAACAAGAAAACCAATGATCTTTCTTTACCAGTGAAGTGAGCAGACAGTATAAGAGAGTCAGCAATAAACAGTCACAGTCTATTACTCCTATTCAAATAGTCTAATTTCCTTTTTTTATTTATTTTTTAATTATAATTTATTTTTTCAAATACATTTGTCTCTGCCTACCCCCCACCACTTTCCCTTGCCCGCTCCCTCCCTCCCTCAACTCTTTCCCTTTAGTTTTGTACGTGAGTCCTTGCTATATGTTCCTTAACTTTCCCCTTCCCTTCCTTTTCCTCCGCCCCCCCCCCTTCCCTCTTGTCTCTGTTGGTTTCTTTTCCTTTCAGTGTTGCTGGTCTTATTTTCCTTGCATCTTTGTATTGTTGGTTAGGTTCCACAAAAGGGAACACTAGTCCACTGTTGGTGGGAATGCAGACTGGTGCAGCCATTGTGGAAAACAGTGTGGAATTTCCTCAAAAAGCTGAAAATGGAACTGCCTTTTGATCCAGTGATTCCCCTGCTGGGGCTATACCCTGAGAATCCCAAAATGCCTATTCAAAAGAACCCCAATGCACCCCAATGTTCATAGCAGCACAATTTACAATAGCCAAGTCTTGGAAGCAACCTAAATGCCAGTAGATGTTTGGATCAAAAAATTATGGTACATTTACACAGTGGAATACTACGTAGCAGAAAGAAGAAAAGAACTACTGCACTTCACGACAGCATGGCTGGAACTCAAGAGCATTATGCTAAGCAAAATAAGCCAGGGGGTGAAAGACAAATACCATATAATCTCACCTATAAGCAGAACCTAACCAACAATACAAAGATGCAAGGAAAATAATTTCCATATATACATTATTACAAGCAATAGAACCTGCCGTTGGCAAACCTTTTTCTAAGGTTCCCATTTTCGCAGATATGTTCCTGGTTGGTGGCTAACAGGCTAACTTCTTGAATGGGACTTTGGAAAAATCAGGGATAGAAAATACAAGGCCAAAACATTTGGAGTAAAGAGATATGGGGAAAAACAAACCAGATTGGCTCCCATCCTATCCATCTGGGTCTACCACATACCTTGGCTCCTACAAGACAAGACATGAAATAGATAATATACAACACCAAAATTGATAAACTAACCAATCCACCCAAATAGGTAAGCCTTATAAAAGAAGATAAGCCCCAAAGCTTTGTTACTTTCACCAGTGGGCACATCAGAAGTCAGGGCATTTGGGCATAATGAGGTGACAAAAATAAATTGTTAATAGAGGAGCTGACCGAGATGAAAAACATCTACACAAAGCTGTTAGGGACTGTACCACATGCCAGAAATCTAGACATTGGGCCTATTGTATGGGAGAAGAAATTTCCAAAGAGGGGTCACATTAGATTCTGCAAATTAACTTCATTGTGCCTCTCTTAGCAGCAGCAGGAGTCACTAAATTTGCCTTAACAATGGTAGTTACCTACACAGGCCTTCTACTCACTTTCCCATGCAAGGCAACCATTACTGTCATTGAAAGGTGAACAAAACAGCTTTCACAACCCTAGAGAGTAAGACCAAGGCTTTCACTTTATCGCAAATCGAATACAAAAAATGGGCATTATAAAATGATATTATAAAATAACATCACCAGGTATCACAGGAATAGGCTTTTAAAAGAGGCCTATTGAAAAAACCTGGAGAACAATGGCCCCCAAAGTAGTCAAAATGCTACCCATTCTTCTGATCACATCACATTAAATCCATACTCCCTGATTACATTAAACTCATCCTTCCTATGGCATAACTTCACCATATTTAAATTCACAACAACTGAGGGGACTATCATCAGAGATACTGCAACCTCTGCTTGTTGTATACACCCACACTAGACACAGGAGAATAACTAGATTTTGTGGACATGGTCACCCTGAGTTTGCAACTAACAACAAAGGAACATGACTTGGTACTTTTACCATTTCATTCTCCTTCATAGAAAATCCAGAGCCTGACTTTTTTCCCCTAAGTCCTGATAAGAACCTGATGTGGACCACCAGTTCAGGAGCCATTCTCAGCTTGAGTTGTCTCATTGTCAGTGTGAACAAGAAAACTATCTACCACCACCTGGAGAGGCCACCCACATACTTTGTGGAACCAACATGGACCTACTCCTGACACCCTCCTAAAGGTGGAACCAATCACTTCATACTGGGTAACAGCATTTGGGTGATGCACAGGATACAATCAGCTCTCCAATTCCTGGATGCACGTGATCTCTGACTTTAACCCCTACTTTGCTGCTGTGCCATTTCCTTACCTAAGAAGTATCCACTCACACCCACTCCATGTCCATACCACAGAGAGATGCACAACAAAGGTCAGGCTGGAGATGATGGGAACCACACCACTGGCTTTGTGGGCTGGTCAATCAGCACTGAAGCTAGCACTCCTCCTATCTCTGCTACTGCTGGCAACACCCTTTCTGGCTAGGCCAGACTATCAGACTGCTTGTGACTCACAGGTCCCCTTCAAGCTCTGTAGGCCAACTTCTTCAAATCAGATGAAACCCACTATTGTTAAATAGTGCCATTAAATAAATGGAGCAAAGGGAGGCTACTATCAAGTCTTATATAAGGAGTACCCAGAGACAGTGAGTTTATATCTAATATTACAACCAGCTTGCTCATTACTGGTACAGTCAAGAGAAAAACTCTAATTCAGAGACAATACTAAAAAATCTTATAGGATTACAGAGATAAAATTATGTCTCTTATTAATCCCTGAGATAACTCATGCCAACAATGTATCTTTTGATCTTACATGTTTTGGCCTCTCTTTCCATTCATTGCAATGATCTCTCTCCCTCTCTAGTATGAGTCAGAGAGTGTGTTAACAAAGTGGCCAAAGGCACATTACCATGGACCTCTTCTCTGGATGCTAATCAATATATACAAGGAGGGCAAGGTATACAAAGCACTATTGCCTGGGCTTAGACATCTCTAAGAAATTAGGGATTTTAAAAATCTACATAAAGATGCACCCACATAGTTCTCACTCCTGTTGTTCAAGGGTCAACTGTATATTCATGTTTCAAATCATTATGTTGTGCACATAAAACTAATATAATGTTAATTATATCTCAATTCAAAAAAAATCTACATATCTCACCTTACAGAAGATAGAAACAATAAGGAAAAGACCAGTAGTGAAGCTAACACGGGAGGAAATTTGTTGGTGTAGTCACCATGTCCCAAGGGTCCATCCCTGAGGCTTTGAAAGCTGTATAAACATCTGCCCTAGACAAATTTCCCCTAGTATGAAAACAATGGAGCAGATGTTCCCATAGTGAAACATAGCATCATTGTAATAAACAGGTACAGAAATGGGTCAAACATAAAGTATTTACAATTTATATTTATTTTTGAAATAACTTGGCCACCTGTGAGGATCCTGTGTGTGAGTGTCTTATAGTTCAGGATCTAATTTCGTGCATGACTAAATTAACATTTTTTCTCTAAACCACCTAGAATACTTGTGAAGCACCCTGTGCCCATGGGAACACACTGATACTACTTGCTATTGACAATTGGAGGAAAACTCAATCACTAAGGCACAACGGTCTGAGCAAGAATGAAAATAAATTTGCCCACCAAGCCAAACCTGCGCATAACCTTAGCCAAAGCCATATCTACCCATACAGATCCAACCCCATGCTTGGCTTGACTCCAACAACCTGATTTTAGCACAGATAGAATTAAATCTCTCCTTTGGTCACACTCTCCAGTAAATCTTACTCATCAAAATGAGCCTATTCCCCTCACATTTGACATCCAACAAGAGCATCAACTTATATGAGGCTAGTCACACAAATGTGTGGGCAATAATGTGTTGCATGCATAACCCATTTAGTTGATCCAGGTACTGAGTGTGAGGTGGAGAGCATCCAGGTTTGTTTGACTATAATATTGCAGCTCCTATTCCAACCACTTGGAATTGCACTAAAGCCACACAAACTTACCTTTCTTAGGAACAGAGTTTATTAGCAGCAGAGGGAGCCTGGTGGACATGCAAGAGAATAAAATTGCCTCCCCTATGCCAAGCTTTCCCTAATCCAACCCTGAAACGTATTTCCTGCACCTGGATTCGGCTCAAAATTCCAGTAGAATTTTTCTCAACAGTGGACCTTCCACCCCAACCTATGTGTTTCCACAAAACTAGCTGCAGCCCTCCAGTGCCACAAGTGAGCTCTTCCAGTAGTCCTGTTGATACTAATCCTTCTAGAACCACTTATTCTGGGGAGACTAAGAACAGCCTATGTGTGGGATACCTCACAACAACAAAAAGAAAACACAGATAACTGTACTCAAAGAATTATCCATAGAAATTAAATGAATGACCCAGGAGCTAGAACTGGGGTAAATCTTAGTATACTTTAGGTGCCATGGTGTTAGATAACTGCATAGCTCTAGGTTATTTAATAGCTGTGAAATGGGGTGGGGGAGAGTTCTATGCACTTGTTTACACATTATTGCATGTGGCTCAGTAACACCAGTTTTACAGATAGCTAGAGTCAAGTTATCAAAGGGCCCATAATGTCAATGTCTACTGACTAAACAGATTGAACATGTCAAAATCTTCTCCTTTTCTGATCTCTTCTCCTGGCTTTCCCCCATGAAGTGGGCCAATTGACTGCAAATGGCCTTTAAATTCTCTTTTGTATCCTTGTAGGATTTGGGGTCTTTAGAATGTTTTATCACTGGCTCCAAACTCAGGTATTACAAAGTAACACACAACTTAGATTATAAAACAGCATGGAGTCTGAGATAGATCTGGATATAAGCAAGCCAAAGATATCCCTGTATATTGTAGGCTTCTGTGTACTGACAATTAGGCTGCTTTCTTCTTCACAGCAGCCTGAAACCTCTAGCTCAAAGCCTTCTGTACTAAGCTCAAAATTTTACATACCTAATTGCTTTAAATATAGTCCAAATAAGAACATTTTTAGTCATTTAAAACCTACCTATTTCATATACCCTGTAAAACCACACCCAACATCTGCTAGCCATAGACAAGACTCTAAGCTGCTGCTGCTGCTGCTCAATGGAGCTCTTTGATTCAGAAACTCCCTGAAATGGGCTGAATGATGTACCCCCAAAATTCATATGTTGCAGTCCTAATCCCCAGCATGTCAGAATGTGACTATTTAGAGATAAGGTCTTTAAAGAGGTAATTAAGGTAAAATGAGGTTGTTAGAGTGGATCCTAATGCAATTTGATTGATGTCTTCATAAGAAGAGATTAGGACACAGACACACACAGAGGGAAGATTCTGTGAAGTCACGGGGAGAAGACAGCCCTCTGCAAGCCAAAGAATGAGTCCTGAGGAGAAACCAGCTCTGCCAACACCTTGATTTCAGACTTCCAGCATCCAGAACTGAGAGAATAAATCTTTATTGTTTATGCTGCCCAGTTTGTGGTACTTTGTTATGGCAGCCCAAGCAAATAAATATAGTCCCCATCTTGCTACTGAGCAACATTGCCTGGACTCATGAGCCCCATCTCTGATTCCCTTATCCTCCAGGAGTTCCTTTGCCCTGTATTCCTCTGGGTGCTGGTCCCTTGCTACTGCCTCTGGACGGCCTCCCATTATGAACGACTTCCCCTCTCATGCAACCCATCAGAGTGCCACCCAGATAAAGCTCATGTGTGCTACTGCTATCTTGTGGTCATGTTTTTTCCTTTATCGGCCTTGAAATCCTCAAACTTACTGCATTATATCTCTTTATCTATATGTCTCCTTTTTTGAATACACATATACATATTTCTATTACAGATGGTTGAGATCTAGGTAAACAGCTCATCATACCTGAGATCAAAGAGTGTTTAGAGTTCACAAAGACATTTCTTAGCCCAGAAACTCCAATTGTTGCCTATTCCCCAAAATAATAACCACAGCAACTGCATGTAAAGAATTCCTACAGTGTAGTAGATATTGTGCTAACATTTCTGTATGTGATATCACAAGAAGACATCACAATAGTCTTCTCAATTAAGTACTATTGTTCTCATTGTACTGTTGAAAAACTAAACAATGTAAGGTACGCGTGAAGGTATATAAATGTTAGTTAACTTGCCTGTTGTGTCAAACATCAATATCTGACAGAATCCAAGCCTATTTAAGTGTAGAGCCTAAATTAGTTACAAAGACATGCTACTTAATCCCAAGGTCTTTCAAGAAGCAGGTTGAATTTCCTCTGTAGTCACCCAGCAAATGTATCATGAGAGGCTGCTAAGAATATATTATACTTGAGTAGCATGTATCATTAAACATGAGGTAGGTAGATCAGTCATGGCTAAGTAGAAATAAATACCCAAGCCCCAAAAGTCACTTTGATATGAATCTTGATCACTGGGTCTTTCCTCTGTCTTGGCATATTTAAAAGTAGAACTATGAAGTTTTAGTATCAAAGAACTTAAAGCTAGAAGAGGCCTTGGAGATAATCCATTCCATTTCTCACATAGCCTTGTAAAAACCAAGGCCTAGGAATGGAAACAGACTTGCCTAGAGACTGAGGGTGTAGGTAGAAGAGCTCTATTACTTAATAGTAAAAATAGTAATTAAAACAAAATAAATTATAATACTAACTACTAATATTTTGGGGGTGTCTGCAATATGCCCTGTATAAATATATTACCTTATTTAATCCTTAAAGCAATCTTTCAATATAGTTGTTATTATCTATCTCCATCTTAAATAAAATAGTTCATAGGTCTAGGATCGCACAGGTAATACATTACAAAATCGAGATTTGAATCAAGTTCTCTTAGGGAATCAAGATTCTATGCTTTCATACTATTATTTTCATCCTAATTTTTGCCTCAATTCTTATCTATGCTATTAAAACTATAAAAAATAATTGAAAATGATGTCAATGAGAGAAAAGCAGGAATAAGACAAATGTATATATTTCATGATCAATATCAGAAATATCTGTGCAATAGCAAAGCTTTTTTCTTGTCTTAAGGAAAGTTTGAATGGAAATAATATATGTACTGCATTTACTACTTCAAGTTGTAAAGATATGGGATCATCTGGAAAAAATAATGCCTTATTTTCTCTTTCAATTTTTCTGTAGACATTCCATTTTTATCTTCAATTGTATAGTCTTTTTCGAGCTGTCCCAGTGGTTTTTATATTGCTTTCTCAGGTTACATAGAGATAACAGAAGGAGAAGCAAGTGTGTTTTGTAATGAACCTTTTTCATGAACTCTTCATCTTCAGTAGCATTGCTCACCAGAGAGGCTGTCGTGGAAAATAGCCAGTTGTCCTGTGAAGCTTTCCCAAAAAATTCCTCAGGGCTGCTTTTTCTTTATCAATCTCCCTAAACCGGATATTCAAGGCCTTCTGGAGTTTTTGAATGTGGAGCCTGGTCCTCTTCTCCTCTCCAAGATTGTTCACAAGGGCCTTCCGCAGGTATACAGGGTCTCCTGTTTTCATGATGTTTTTCTTCATTGTGTAGCCCATTCCACCCATGCTCAAACTTTGGCAGAGGAGGTTCAAGACATGAGTCTGAGGCTGCCTGTAAATGCCTCAGTAAAATGATTCTCCTGCAGCTTGGAATATCAGAACCATGGCACCATGACAACAGAGAGTCACAGAATCTTGGAGCTGAAAGGCATCAAAGGTTCATTTAGCCCAAACACTCAAATTGACTGATTAGAAGTTTTTAAGCTTGTGTATATTCTTAGATTAGAAACATGAGTAATTTGATAGATTAAATGGCAATCACAGTGCCTGTTGCCTTTTTTGTACTTACACATAAGTTGGATGGTAAGTGCCTTTAAGGATCCATCATCAGGACCAGATTGTTTATGAATAGAGAAAAATAGAAAGTATATTCAAACACAGTTTAATTATAGAAACTATTTTTCATCTTTTATGTATTCACTTGAAGTTTCTAAATAATTGAGATTTTGTCATTTGTCTAGGTACTGAATTAGATATAAAGAACTTCCTCATGAAGTATCAATTTTTCATACAAGAAAGGACAGGAAACAGGGAAACATGCATGTATCTAGTCATGTGTGCAAAAAAAACCCTCAGGAAATAAAGAAAAAAACAAAAGAGATGTGAGATGGAAAGGGAAAACAGGTAAGGGTAGGAAAATGAAATACAGTAGAAGGTATAAAAAGAAAGACACTTCTTTAAGTATACCTTTTAATTATTCCTACATTTAGAAATATGTTAATTTTGTTTTTCTTTTTTAAATTTAATTTATTTATTTTTTCAAATACATTTGTTTATGCCTTCCCCCCACCACTTTCCCTTGCCACCTCCCCCCTCTCCCTCCCTCAATCCATCCCCTTTGTTTTGTCCATGAGTCCTTGCTATATGTTCCACAACTTTGCCTTTCCCTTCCTTTTCCCCCACCCATCCCTCCCTCCTTCCCTCTTGTTTCTGTTGGTTTCTTTTCCTTTCAGTGTTGCTGGTCTTCTTTTCCTTGTATCTTTCTTTTGTTGGTTAGGTCCCGCTTATAGGTGAGATCATATGGTATTTGTCTTTCGCCCCCTGGCTTATTTCGCTTAGCATAATGCTCTCAAGTTCTATCCATGCTGTTGCGAAGTGCAGTAGTTCTTTTTTTCGTTATGCTGCATAGTATTCCATTGTGTAAATGTACCACAATTTTTTATTCAAATCATCTACTGATGGGCATTTAGGTTGCTTCCAACACTTGGCTATTGTAAATTGTGCTGCTATGAACATTGGGGCGCATAGGTTCTTTTGAATCAGCATTTTGGTGTTCTTTGGGTATAGTCCCAAGAGGGGAATCACTGGACCAAAGGGCAGTTCCATTTTCAGCTTTTTTTGAGGAAATTCCACACTGCTTTCCACAGTGGCTGCACCAGTCTGCATTCCCACCAACAGTGGACTAGTGTTCCCTTTTCTCCACACCCTCACCAGAACCTGTTGTTTGTTGATCTGTTTATGATGGCCATTCTGACCGGTGTGAGGTGATACCTCATGGTGGTTTTGATCTGCATTTCTCTGATGCCTAGTGATGCCGAGCATCCTTTGAAATGTCTCTGGGCCCTCTGTATCTCCTCCTTGGAAAAGCATCTGCCCAGGTCCTTTGCCCATTTTTTATTAGATTGTTTGTCTTGGAGTGGAGTTGAGTGAGTTCTTTATATATCTTGGAGATCACACCTTTATCTGATGTATCATTAGCAAATATATTTTCCCATAGAGTTGTCTCCCTTTTCATTTTGCTGATGTTTTCTTTACCATTCAGAAGCGTCTTACGTTGATGAAGTCCCACTTGTTTATTCTTTCCTTTATGTCCCTTGATTTAGACAACATATCAGTGAAAAAATTGCTGCACCAGATATCTGAGAGTTTCCTGCCAATGTTCTCCTCTAGAATTTTTATGATGTTGGGACTTATATTTAAGTCTTTTATCCATCTTGATTTGATTTTTGTGTATGGTGTCAGCTGATGATCATTTCAATTTTTTGCATGTAGCTGTCCAGCTCTCCCAACACCATTTGTTGAAGAAGCTATTATTTTATGCTTGTATTTTATGCTTCTGCCCCCTTTGTCAAATATTAGTTGCCCATATAGACTGGGGCTTATTTCTGGGCTTCCTATTCTGTTCCACTGATCTATGGGTCTGTTCTTATGCCAGTGCCAAATTGTTTTGAGTATAGGGCTTTGGAGTGAAGTTTGATGTCAGGTATTGTGATCCCTCCTCCTCTGTTTTTCTTTCTCAAAATTGCTGCAGCTATTCGGGGTCATTTATGGTTCCATATGAATTTCTGAAATGTCTGTTCTATTTCTGTGAAATACATCATTGGTATCTTAATAGGGATTGTGTTGAATTTATAAATTGCTTTGGGTAGTATGGACATTTTGATGATATTAATTCTTTCCATCTATGAGCACAGTATATGCTTCCATTTATTTGTGTCTTCCTTAATTTCTTTCTTCAATGTTGTATAGTTTTCTGCATACAGGTCTTTTACCTCATTGGTTAAATTTATTCCTAGGTTCTTTATTTTTCTTCTTGCTATATCGAATAGTATTTTTTTTCTTATTTCTTCTTCTATTTCATTGCTGGTTTACAAAAATGCATTTGATTTCTGAATATTGACTTAGTATCCTGCTGTTTTGTCAAATTCACTTATAAGGTTGAGTAGTTTCTTGGTGGAGTCTCCGGGATTTTCTATGTACACTATCATCTGCATAGTATGTCATCTGCAAAGAATGATAGTTTTACTTCCTCCTTTCCTATTTGGATGCCTTTTATTTCTTTTTCTTGTCTGATCTCTGTGGCTAGGACTTCCAATACGATGTTGAAAAGAACTGGTGAAAGCGTACATTCTTGTCGTGTTCCCGATCTTAGTGGGAAAGCTTTTAGTTTTTGCCCGTCGAGTATGATGTTGGCTGTAGGTGTTTCATACATTGCCTTTATTATGTTGAGGAATGCCCCATTTATTCCCATTTTGTTCAGTGTTTTGATCATAAAAGGTGCTGTACCTTATTGAATGCTTTTTCTGCGTCTATCGAGATGATCATGTGGTTTTTGTCTTTTCTTTTATTTATGTGATGTATCATGTTTACTGATTTGCATATATTGAACCATCCCTGCATCCCTGGGATGAATCCCACTTGATCGTGGTGGATAATCTTTGCAATGTATTGCTGGATGCTGTTTGCCAATATTTTGTTGAGGATTTTAGCATCTATGTTCATCAGCGAAATTGGCCTGTAGTTTTCTTTCTTTGTAGGGTCTTTATCTGGTTTTGGGATCAGGGTGATGCTGGCCTCATAGAAAGAGTCTGGGAGTCTTCTCTCCTCTTGGATGTTTTGGAATAGTCTGAGAAGGATAGGGGTTAGCTTTTCCTTAAATGTTTTGTAAAATTCTCCTGTGAAACCGTCCGGCCCAGGGCTTTTGTGTGCTCGGAGTTACTTGATGACTGCTTCAATTTCCCCAGCTGTTATCGGTCTGCTCAAGCTTTCTGTTTCTTCCTCCTTCAGTGTTGGGAGATTATACTTTTCTAGAAATCTGTCCATTTCATCGATGTTTTCAAATGTTGTGGCATATAATTGTTCATAATAGTTTCTGATGATCATTTGTATTTCTGTGGTATCAGTTGTTAATTATCCTCTTTCATTCCTGATATTATTAATTTGGGTCCTCACCCTTTTTGTCTTGATGAGTCTGCTTAAAGGCTTGTCGATTTTATTTATCTTTTCAAAGAACCAGATCCTGGATTGGTCGATCCTTTGAATGGTTCTTTTGGTCTCTATGTCATTCATTTCTGCTCTAATCTTGACTATTTCCTTCCTTTTGCTTGCTCTGGGATTTATTTGTTGTTGTTTCTCCAATTCTTGAAGTTGTAGTGTTAGGTCTTTTATTTGAAATGTTTCTATCTTTTTTAGGTAGGCCTGTATTGCTATGAACTTCCCTCTCAGGACTGCCTTTGCTGTGTCCCATAGGTTTTGCACTGTTGTCTGTTCATTTTCATTTGTTTCCAGAAACTTTTTGATTTCTTCTCTTATCTCATTTTTGACCCATTCATTGTTTAATAGTGTGCTCTTCAGTCTCCATGAGTTTGCAAGTTTTTGAAGTTTCTCTTTGAGGTTGATTTCCAGTTTCAATCCCTTGTGTTCTGAGAGAAAGTTTGGTATTATTTCATTTTCCTGAATTTGCTGAGGCTTGCTTTGTGTCCTATCATGTGGTCTATCTTTGAAAAACTTCCATGCTCATTTAAAAAGAATGTGTATTTTTTGTCTTTGGGATGTAAGGTTCTATATATGTCAGTTAACTCTCTTTGATTTAGTGTGTCTTTCAGCACCACAATATGTTTATTAATATTTTGTTTGGAAGATCTGTCCATTTTTGACAGTGGGGTGTTGAAATCCCGTACTATTAGTGTGTTGCTGTCTATCTTTTTTGAAGTCATCCAACAATTTCCTTATATACTTGGGGGCTCCTATATGGGAGCATATAAGTTTACAATGTTTATGTCTCCTGATAGATTCTTCCTTTAAGTATTATAAAGTGCCTCTCTGGGTCTCTTTTTATGGCCTTTGTTTTGAAATCTACTTTGTCTGATACAAGTATGGCAATCCAGGCCTTTTTCTCTTGCCCATTGGCTTGGAATATTTTTTCCATCCCTTTACTTTCAATCTGTGTAGGTCTCTTGCTCTGAGATGGGCCTCTTATAGGCAGCATATGTGTGGGTCATGTTTTCTTATCCATTCAACTCTCTTGTGTCTTTTGATTGGGGTATTTCGTCCTTTTACATTTAGAGTTATTACGGATAGAAAGCTATTCAGTTTTTCTCTTTGTACCTGTGTTTTTCTCTTTCTCACTCTTTTCTTTCATCTTCTTAAACCAGTCCCTTAGCATATCTTGGAGTGCTGGTTTGGTAGAGATGTATTCTTTTATCCTTCTTTTGCCTGGGAAACTCCTTATTTCCCCTTCTATTTCAATTGAGAGCCTTGCTGGGTAGAGCAGCCTTGGTTGTAGG